ATTTCCTCTGGGCTGATGATACTGAATGACATTTCAAACTTCAAACTATTATCATCTGTCACATGTCCTTGACCAGAATCAGAAGTGGAATACAGCCTTTAAAACTTGCAGTTAATCAAATTTCAAAATTCCTTTTGGACTGATGATAGTAAATAGCACTTCAAACCTGTGAGCAAATTCTGAATGTACTGGGTCAGTAGTTCTTATTTTCAGAGATGTATTACTTTTATTATTAGTCACAACAGAAGTGACTTAAAGCCTTTAAATCCTACAGTTTAAGAAATTTCATACTTTCCTCTTAACTTATGGTAGAACATAATAATACAAACTTGGGAGCAAATTCTGAATGAAACGAGGTAACAGTAGTATTTGATCCATCAATATTACTCGCAGGCCCGAGATTGTCTCCCCTGTGTCAAGGACGAAAGCCTCGATTTCACAACATAAAATAGAAATAAAGCCACCCTTAACCAAGAGTGGGATTATGCCTTAAACATCTACAGTTGGATCTATTGTATGAGGCAGGTAGAGTGTTTTTGTACTATTAATGTGTTAGTGAGTTGTGTGAAGTAACCTTTAGTATGTTGAGGGAAACAGTAATTGTGTGATTTGTGTGAACTGTGTGATTTGTGTGAACTGTGTGCAGTGTGTGAACTGTGTGCAGTGTGTGAAATGTGTGCAGTGTGTGAACTGTGTGCAGTGTGTGAAATGTGTGCAGTGTGTGAACTGTGTGAACTGTGTCCAGTGTGTGATGCCCTTGACTCAAAGTTGAACAGGTGTGAGTGTAAACTGTAAAGATATTTCTTGTTATTTATCTGATAAAGCTATTCTTGATTCATACTTGTGATGTGTTCTTACTCCATATTGTGACCATTTCTGCTTGAATAAAGTTGACTAAAAACTACAATAATGGAATCCAAAGATGTTGATTGTTAAATTATGTGTGAAACTTGAGACATGCAGAAAGTACATTTAACAAGTCAATATGGCCAATGTTTAGAGAATTTAAACTGTATTACTATTCATATGCCCTTCATTCGTAGTAGATCATATTTCAGACTTGTAGAAAGCAGACTATGAGAGCAAATAGGCCATTAGTTAGATTCAATCATGTATGTCTTTGACCAGAAGAGGGATAATGTCACTTAAGTCTAATACTCACAGCATAATCATCACATTTAAAAACTGTGGGCTGAATCTGAAACAGGACAATATTGTATATTTTCAGAGAATCTTTACAATATTAGTATTATACATGCCCATTCAACCAGAAGAGGGATTACACCATACAATCTACAATCAATGGAATCTTCAGATTTCATTTTGGTTGCTCATAGCAAATCACACTTCGTGTTGAAGAGCAGACTGGGCTGATCTACAATGCATTTTTTTTTTCTTATTACTTGTATTTCTTCGACCCGTGAAGATCCGGGGTAGAATAGGTCTTCAGCAACCGATGTGCTTGCCATAAAAGGCGACTATGCTTGTCGTAAGAGGCGACCAACGGGATCAGGTGGTCAGTTTCGCTGACTTGGTTGACACATGTCATCGGTTCCCAATTGCGCAGATCGATGCTCATGCTGTTGATCACTGGATTGTCTGGTCCAGACTCGATTATTTACAGACCGCCGCGATATAGCTGGGATATTGCTGAGCGTGGCGTACAACTAAACTCACTCATCCACTTATATTTCTTCAACCAGAAGTGTTTGAAGTGGAACAAGTTTAAATTCTATATTTTAATGGAATTTGTGATTTTCTTTTGGGTTCCTATATTTCATACTCATGGCCAAAATCTGAAAGCAGAGGGTGACTGTTGCATGGTAAAATTTCCTTGACAACCCTTATTAGACAAATTACCTAATCAAAATGTGGCATTAATTGTTTTCCTTTGTTTGTTGTTTGTTGCTACACCGTGACCGTGTGTTTGTTGTTGCTACACCGTGTGTTTGTTGCTACACCATGTGTTTGTTGTTGCTACACCGTGTGTTTGTTGTTGCTACTCCGCGTGTTTGTTGTTGCTACACCGTGTGTTTGTTGTTGCTACACCGTGTGTTTGTTGTTGCTACACCGTGTGTTTGTTGTTGCTACACCGTGTGTTTGTTGTTGCTACACCGTGTGTTTGTTGTTGCTACACCGTGTGTTTGTTGTTGCTACACCGTGTGTTTGTTGTTGCTACACCGTGTGTTTGTTGTTGCTACACCGTGTGTTTGTTGTTGCTACACCGTGTGTTTGTTGTTGCTACACCGTGTGTTTGTTGTTGCTACACCGTTTGTTGTTTGTTTGTTGTTGCTACACCGTGTGTTTGTTGTTGCTACACCGTGTGTTTGTTGTTGCTACACCGTGTGTTTGTTGCTACACCATGTGTTTGTTGCTACACCGTGTGTTTGTTGCTACACCACCGTGTTTGTAGACTAAGGCTTAGTCTCTGAATATATATAATTTTGATAGTAACAAACAAGCCCATTTATATTGAAAAGGAGCCCTAAGGAGACCAGAGATTCAGACTGACCTGAGGAAATCTAGACTTGCTTTATTTAGGGCTTTAGCACTGCAGAGAGGGCTTGGCAGTAGGGAAAATAATGTGGTTCAGGGACTGTGAGACAGACTACCGTGTTTGTTGCTACACCGTGTGTTTGTTGCTACACCGTGTGTTTGTTGCTACACCGTGTGTTTGTTGCTACACCGTGCAATATTCCAGCTACAGTGGTTCGCCATAAGTGGGTCATCATTGGTGTAATTCCCATAGACTTGCATGTTAATTAACTCCCGACTTGTTATGGTCTCATGATCCCTTCATTAAAGTTTATATGTAACTTTGACATTGTTATCGTACTTATCAACTGGGGTAATATTTTGACAATGCACATTTTCTTTATGTGGCTAGTATATATACAGGCCTTTCATGTCACCATCTGACCATGTGGGACGTGCAAAATATTTCTCATGTTGTAATCTTCTTATTTCACAGGTAAGCACCCCCCAGGTAAGCGGGGGCGAGAGAGAGAATGATCTTTATGGAAAAGCGTGTACAATGTGTATACCACCGCACCCCCTAAACTTTTCTAATAAGGGTATTTCTTCCCTTGATACATTATGGTATTTTCCAACTTCAATGTGTAATTTATGTGACGATTTTCTAAAGGTGGTATAATTTTTCTAATGGGATTATTTCTTATATTTAAGTTCATTTCATCGCCAAATTGTTGCTTAATTTAAATGGAAAGCTTTGCATTATTAGATATATCTTCATGCCATTTCTGAAGGAAACTATCAATCAGTCTTTGCTTAAAGGTAACAATGTATTATGGTAAACACAAAAGGGGTCTGCCCACACATAACCAAACCCATCTGAACTTCTCAAATTGTCTTACACTCGAAGTAGATTGACAGAAATGTGATTTACTATGGATAATGACAATTTAATGTCGAATTCAAGAAAATGTATAATGAAAATGAAAACGTATAAATAACTGTATTTATATTTTTGTATGTGCCCAAATTAAAGAGCTTCCAAGTATGCAAAACCATGACAATCTTTAATGTTTTTACATACATTATTAACTTCCAACCTCTTTTAAAATATATGTGGATGAATATGTGGAGTATGAGCTAAGTGAGAAGACTTTCATCTTATCAGGTCTGTAGATAAGATTGTATTTTGTCAGTGAAATATGTTGTATGTTTGTTTACCCAAATAGATTATATTGTCATATAAATGCCATGTCAGGTTCAGATGTCCCAGTCCAGTAGATTTTTTTTCCGCCGGACAAACAAATTTGTGTATATCACACTGTACCAGTGTCTAGTTGACTTTCCAATGGTAATTATGTTGTTTATTTAAAAAGTCATCAAGAAAATCAATCGGTATAGTGGAAAAATTATCAGGCCAAGAGATTTTACATGTGCCACTGTACCGGAGTACACTAGCTATTTTTAAGTTATTTCCACCCCTGAGGTTAATCCTTTTCACCTGCCAGATGTCAATGGTTTTGTATCATGCCTTTTTACACAGAAACAAATACTCTCCACTGCCTAACAATATTACTTGTATGCATGTACTATGGGTATGTGAAGTGCAAATAAAGATAAAGTCAAAGGTAAAGTTCACAAATTTATTCATTTGCATAAAAACAACCTAACCATGTAATTTTCAGGTTTGAGGATGTCTTGTAGTCTGAGGCCAGAGAAATATCAACAAACCATTGCCAGACCATTTTCAGTAAGGCATAAATATAAACATCTCAAGTTTGTAACAATCACGGAGCAAAGTTTATTCATAAGATTACTGTGAAAAATGATCATCATTCTTTTATATATGTTCTTTGTATACAATGTATTCATGTAAATAAATCTGTCTTTAATGGCCAGTGGTCTCTTGTTCTACCTGACTAAGCTACCCCTTATTATACATAAAATATGTCATGTGTTGATGATGATGATACAAGGAACCAGACAGCAGGTAATGACGAGGTTATAGAGGCTCCATTCAGAACCACAACAGAAATGCAAATGACATATTGAAAAAGTCAAGCAGTCTGTTGAAAGGCTTGTCTTGAATTTACTCTATTTGGCCATCCAGAATCTTGACTTTTGTTGGGTGACCAAGCCTTCCTTAACAAGGGGTTTAAAGTAGGGGTGACGCGATACGCGAATGTATCAATGCATCGATACATTTTTACTGACGATACGATACGTGATACATGCTTACGTGTATCGATTCCTATTTTAAAACTTTATCGATTCAAATTTTTATGCTATATCCATCTCCGTCAAAGTCTTGATAGTAAAATTATACGAGACGGCTCCGATAAATAGATGTAGCTAGCTTTACTTAAAAAACAGGTTGGAAACTAACAGCTTTTGTGATTGGCTAGACTATTTCGATGGACCAATCAGCGAGCGCCTACGTTGCCGGTAAGGTAATGCTATGAAAAGGAGCGAAAATTATGTATCGCGATGCGTATCGTATCGTGACCTTAAAATCGTGATACGTATCGTATCGTGAGATTGGTGTATCGTGACACCCCTAGTTTAAAGCTCTTGGTAAGCGGCAGAGGTTTAATTTGGAAATGCTTGTCTGCATCTTTCTTTGCTGATGGGTAGTTTGGCAAAGCTCTTCTCCTTTCTATTACAGCCCGCTGCAGGTCTTCAGCATAGCCTGCATGATACAAAATAGGAAATAACAATGTCACTGTAAACAATTATACAAGATACAGGCAAGACAACACAGGTTATGTTTGTTTTCTGTTTGTTATCATGTGCAGATTTAATTATGTATTTTGGTGCATAAGATCAAGAGACAAATATCACATGCTAAAGGCCTCTCTGAAAACAAAGTATAATTCAAACAAAATTTGTTATCAGACAAAAGGAATAAATTTGCTCCAGTCTTACTTATGTATGTATAAAATCTGCAGTTCTAAACTTACTGGGGTGGTGGGGTAGCCTATTGGTTAAAGCGTTGGCTCGTCATGCCGAAGACCCGGGTTCGAATCCCCACATGGGTACAATGTGTGAAGCCCACTTATGGTGTCCCCTGCCGTGATGTTGCTGGAATATTGCTAAAAGCGACGTAAAACCAAACTCAGTCAGTCAGTCAGTCAGTCTAAACTTACTGAATGAAACTGGTTGTTTATCAGGTTTGACAACGGCATCCTCTCCTTTCTTTGATTTGGGATACATCATCTTCCATCTTGAATTGCCCTCATGATCTGTTGCTTGTTCATGGTTTCCATTTTCATTGAAATGCGAGGAACATTTTGAAATAGTCAAATTTTGCTTGATAACTGAAAAAATGTATGTCATTGCAATGGTTATAGAACATACTTCTACAAAGTGTAAACCAAGCATCACAGCTTCCATCTAGAACACCACATAGCAATTAGTGGCTTCTGTAATGTATTTATTGTAGAAATACTAAGTGAATATTATGAAATATTGTATGGGCTCTCTGCATATCTCACCTTGCCACCATTGCAGCATAAAAGCAGTGGGTGTTCTTAGGCGCAGAGTGATTTATTACACTGTGGAAAACCTCCAATGCTTTAGTCTGATACACTGGAGACTGGTTTGGCAAATCTCTCACAAGGTAACCACTGCTGACAACCTCCATGAAAGCTTTATATGGTTTAGAACCTGTAAAAACAAAATTGCTACTTCATTCATGTTATCATGGTTAATGGCATGTGTACCCTTATAGTATTGTAACACTCCCTGTAAATTAATGCCTGACTGTGTGTATAACCGATGAATTGGTCGATTGAAATGCTGTTAATGTTCAGGGCTCGATTTAGTGCCTTGTTCCTTACACTGGTGCTAACCATTATTACAAAGTGTAACCTAGTCTAAATTTTTGAGGGGGTAAACTTCTAAATAAAACATCTAAATAATTCAATAGCATATTTCACTAATTACATATTGCAATGAAAGCAATGGAATTTGGCTCGTGCAACATTTTATCTTTGGTTACACCTGGTGCAAGTAGGTTAACAACTCTTCAATCGAGCCCTGATGTTAAAGTATATTTTTAAAAAAACTAACCTTCTTTCAACTATAGTCTTTCCTCAGTCAGTGGTCCATGCTCGCTCGCACTGCTTGAACTTGGGTGAGTGTCCTTCATGTTTGTTTGCAACATGATTTGTCACTGACAACCATTTATCGACTTTCATATCTGGTTCATCTTTACATGCTGCTGCTACCTATTACATATGGTTTGTCGTCGACTTGATCCAAGGACGGATTGCTGCACATCCACTTTTTGGGGCTGCTGCTTCCAGTTTCTTCCCAACTGCTGGCATCAATTGGAATATGTAATTTAGTGGTAGAAAACAGTTTTCATATCCAAATAGTCCACAGCACATTTCACATATTTACAATATTTATGTAAAATACTAGTAGCTAACCCAATTTTATCAGTGGTATTTTTTATGTTAACAATATGATCACAAGATAATTTTATGAATGCCGGCAAACAGTTATTGATGTATATCAAGAATCTGTATCATAAACAGATTAACACAAACTATATGTGTATGCTCACCTTTGGTTCCATGCCAAACATCAAAGTAATGTTTCTTGTCTTTATGCTCCTCTCTGATGTATTTCTTCACTGAGACATGGCGATCTGTGATGACTTCCTTAATGGCACACCCTTTCTGTTCAAGAAATGACAATCCTCGCTTCAGTCCCTCAAGTTCCATGTGATGTGAATTCTTCACTTCATTGCTCTGAAATGAAAACGAGAACATATCAATCACTGAATTGTCTGCTCCAGATTTGATTTATTATAGGTTGCAGTTATATATAGCTGGAATAGTGCTGCAAGCAGCATCAAGCAGAACACCTCTTGTCAATATTGCTACCTGCCCCCCTGCATGTTATGTACAAAAGAAAGGGGGGAGGGGGTCAAGTAGGTGATATTTTGAACATTAAAAAAGGGTTTGAATAATTTCAACATCATTTCTCTTCTACCTATAGTGAATAAGATGAGGCACAAACTGTCCCACATTTTTCAACATTAAAATTTTATTATCAAAATATTGGCATAGTTTACTTTTGTTTCGAGGGACGAGTGCACAGAGATGTACACACAGGTGTGCGAGAAAGGCTCACCACAGGTAAATTAATCAATAGCTATTTGCACTCCTACCTCGTAACAAATAGTGAACTGTGATAATATTTTTATGATATTTTATTAAACAACTCTTTTATTATTAAATCATAATCCATGAAATTAAAATTTCACAATGGTAGAGCAGAGACAATATATTATATGGTCTCTGGGTAGAGCAATTATAATGCACCATGCCAAATTAGAAAACGATTGTACTTGAAGTGTTTTGACCAAACACCGTCACGAAACGTTTTCTACCATTGGGGACATGGTTTATGCCGGGTGGCTGCATACGGCGGTCTGTCAGGTATGACCAGCGATTTTATACATGTCACGTGATCAGAGACCCGCATTGTCACCTGTTGCTCATGTTTTCAGTCTGAGGCGAGCGTCGGGAAGGACGGTTGGGACTCACTGCGGTGGGCTAGCATTTCACGTTGAGTGTACAGTGGCTAGTACATTCATGAGAAATCGAAGCATCAGCCATGAATGCTCATTGTTTTTCCGACATGTTCTCCACCGTTCACGGCTTCCTATAAACAGTCGCTCCGCCTCACGCCTGTGCCTGTAAGTACTCGACAAACAGGTAGCCATGTTGTATATTCCCGTATCGTCTAGACTTGCAGCGTGTATCGCATGGTATTACACGAGGGTAGTGTATCGTACACGACTGTGATGTATCGTACACGACTGTAGTGTATCGTCGACTGGTCTACGTGGTGGGGAGGGAGTTATCTGTGTATATCACCAGGTAAGATGGAGGCGATCATTTAGTAGCGCGGCTCGTGTGTTGAGTCGTCGTGACCTAAATCCGCTCCCGCCATCAAGCCACATGTTCGGGCATAGTCGGTATCAATCTATCTCGTTCCGCCCATTGACGACAGGTTTTTTACGGTTTAATGTATAGAGTATTTTCATCACGGTATGGCTGGAATATTTGGGGTGTTCATTTTTTTGCCTGCATGTAAACGTGTAACAATTGTATACTAAACTCATGTCATATTTGATTACGTTTAATGACGGAGTTCACTAATCATTATGAACTGTGTTCAGCGTGGTCAGTGAATAACCTTGGTGGTGAGTGAACTCCACTTACTCTAACAGACTATAATTGTGCAAGCAAAAGGATAATACAGTTTTTTGCTGAACACGTGGCGTGTGAACAGCCACACCATCGCCGTGATCGTGGTGATCCTTGCCGGCAGGTATTGCTCAGAAAAGTAATCACCAGACCCAGATCCTAGCTACAACAATGGGATAGAACTGTTGTTTGGGTCGGACCAGCGAGGACAGGGCTAACATTTCCGTGCGTGTTCTGCTCGTCATAGGCGAGAGAGGCGTAGAAGGTATCATTAGGTGACAATATGTCCAGGAATGTCACCACTAGCGTCACTGCTATTTGTGTGAAGAAATCACCTCCTAATACACTTTATTACACACGTAGTGTGTAAAGTGAAATTATAATTTCATTAGTAAATATGGTAGATGTGATATTGGTATCTGCATCATGATATCCAGAAGTAGGCCATATTTAAAGCTAGTGAGGCAAATTACCCATAAACCCTTCTTCGTAAGGGCCGAAATTAGAAAAGTACACTGAGTAAAGGAAAAACATTTAATCAGATCATCGAATTCGAACTTCCAACGAAAAAAACCTACATAGGGTCAGTGGCCACTCAAGTCATCCAGTGGGACGCCCTCCTCTTCCTGGCCAGCTCCGCTCTTGTCCAGACCCACAGCACTCAACTGCAAGCAAAGAGCATAGCATTATCAACTATGACTTGGTTGAATCACTTAGATCAATCCAAAACTGTAATATGTTTTAAAATCCATTAAGATTGACATAAATTCAATAAAGTTCCTGGAATGAAGCTAAATCTTAGCAATGCAGTAATTCTGAGAAATGCAAAACAATCTTGGCAATTCAGGGTGGGAGACAGGGTAGGGAATATCACATCTACTATACTACCCATCAAAAGTTATGGCAATGTCAGTATCTTGGAGGAAAATAGCAATCGTGTTCAAAAATCAGCAACAAACACAACATCACTCATTTAGGGTTTTAATCCGTATGAAATGAGGACGTGTACATTCCTCAAAACTTTTGTAAAGAACCGTAAACATGGGTACTGTGAAAAAGTGTGTTTCAAAAGTCAATAATGGGTATGTCCACCCCTGGCTCTGGCACAAGCATCGCACCGACGTCTCATGCCACGTACCAAGTATCCAAGCTGCCTCTGGGGGATGTTCTGCCACTCTTGTAACAAGGCATTTCGAAGCTGGTCAAGGGGGAGGAACTCTGGCGTAAACACGGCGTCCAGCATGTCCCACACATGCTCTATGGGGTTGAGATCGGGTGATAACGCTGGCCATTCCATACGATTAACCCTGTTCTGCTGCAACCACGCTGTTACGATGCGAGCTCTGTGGGGCCTAGCGTTATCATCTTGCAGAACAGCCTGGCCTGGCATGGCCCGCAGGAAAGGAAGCACCACAGGAGCGAGAATCTCATCGCGATACCTCTGACCCGTCAAGTTCCCATCCACTACCACTAAATCGGTTCGTCCAGTCATTGAGATACCGCCCCAGACCATAACGGACCCACCTCCAAAATGATCATGTTCAACAACGTTGCGTCAACGTAACGTTCTCCCTGACGTCTGTACACAGGTATTCGTCCGTCGTTGAAGTGCAGTTTGAACCTGGATTCGTCGGTGAACAACACACGTGACCATCTGCCTGCACCCCATCTCAAATGCCCATTAACCCAGTCCAATCGAGCCCGACGGTGACATGGTGTAAGAAGAGGGGGCCTAACGGCAGGACGTCTTGCACGCAGTCCAGCTCGACGTAACCGGCACCTTATCGTGGATACAGAAACATGACGTCCAGTGGCGTGTCTGAACGTATCGTTGACTGAGGTGGCTGTGATGTGTCGGCTCCTGAGAATGATCAATCGGATGTAACGATCATCCTGTTGCGACGTCACTCGTGGCCTACCCGATCTTGGCCGATCCTGGACAGAATTCGTCTGTTGAAAGCGTGTCCAGAGGTTGGAAATGGCCTTCTGGGATACACCATGACGCCTGGCTACATAACGTTGTGATTTCCCATCTTGTAAGAGTGCCAAGGCTTGATGTCGTTTTGCATTGGACAAACTTCTCCCTCGACCCATGCTGACGGAGAAGTGAAATTTGGCCCCTATCCTCACTGAATCAATTTCAAACCGTGTACAGGTGAAATGCACGAGGTTCATACTGCAACATGTTGTGATGCACGTGCTCACACCGTGCATGCTCATGGCTGCGTTTGGCTTGACAATTTCATGACATTTTCATCATTTTCACCAAAATTGTACCAGGTATGGATTTCAAAATCCTTAGGCATCAAGGCTACAAATATGCCGAACAGTATTTCGAGTTATGCCTTATTCCACACATGTGAAAAGTTCATTAGTTTCAGGCTATTCAAGTAGTCAAAAGTTAATTGAAATAGGGTAATCTGTTAACAGGGGTGAGTCTAAACTTTTGATGCGTAGTATATGTTTACTAATGAAATTCTTATTTCACTTTACACACTACGTGTGTTTGTGAAATTTCCAATTTCATGTCATAAGCATACTAGATGTGATATTGGTAGTTCAAAGCCTGTTAGTGTCAAGTATCTTTGACAAGCAGTTGTCATTGCTGATTGTATTTCTCAGATAGAAGGTTCTGAAAGTAGAGGCCTTGGTCCAGCTTCTTAACTTCAAATGTTTGTGACAGAAGCACCTTTGGCAAATGCCTTTGAAGCACTAGAGCTTCTCTGACAGAATGAGCTTTGTAGTGTGAACTGTGAAGTCTCAATGATGTGTACAATCTTCATCTTCTTCTTCAGGTCCACACTCAAAACAAGGGGAAGGTACATATCCTTCTGCACAAGTAGACACCTCATCTTGGGAACATTCAAAATCAAACATGATGAATTTCTTGACTTGGGGTTTGTCATCCACAGGTAATGGCTCGTGATAACAATTGTGATTTAAGGGCACTCTGTTACCACAAGGGTAGCACATGTAAGTGTCACAATCATGTTGACCATCTTTGTTCTGCCAAATATTCAGCACTTTAAAACACTCAGTGCAACGCCAGTAGGTCTGACACTCTGAGGGGAGATCCCCTTTCTTGGACTTTTTAGGCTCCTTATGAGCGATAAAACACGCTTCCGATCGGTATTGCATGTGGCAATCAGGACAGATTCTTGCAGTGTCCTTGGTCTGACACGATTTCCTCTTACATACCCTACAGTAATTGTCACATGCATGTTTTTCTTTACTTTGGAAGGGGATGAGACAATGGTGACAAAAATAACTCTGGCTGAAAAGCCAGAAATGTTGACGATGGCATGAAAATGGTTGTCCACTAAATAGAGAAACAACTGCTTTCTGTCATCTTTCATCCCTGTGGTGATGAATTTATTTCCTAGTGATGCATTGATCCCTAATATTTGACATCCCAAGACAGGTTCAAATTTGGGAATATCTGTCACATTCGCCATTCTATCCTTGGACACACCCGCTTTCTCAAAGAGGAGATTGGCAAAGACGGTTTGTTGGTTTCTTTTGGAATCTTTCATGTTTTTGTACAGTGTGGGTGGACATTTCTTATGTTCTAAAGCAAGATGTGTCATATGAGTATTCTTTGACTAGGGGGAGATGTTAACAGAAACCGGCACTCACACTGATCTAAAGGATGAGCCTTGATGAGATCCTGCCATTCAGCCTTAGATACTTGATGAGCTTTAGCAAAACACACAGAGAGAGCTCTTGCCATACATAGGTGATCTGCCTCGTTGATTTCTACAATACTATGTTTTAATTTGAAATTTTCTTGAACATTTGTGATTTTATGATTTATTCCTCCTTTAGGCATATCAATAATACCTATATCGATATCAAATGAATCGTCCAAGGCCAAATGATGGTGACTATTTAACACATTTTCCACATGTCTCAGAATGACATCTGTATTCAACTTTTCCAATGGTCTCAGTGGGACCACAATTGGATTTTCTAACCTTTGATGGTTAATACGACACGTCCTAAATCAGAATCTTGTAACTGCCCTCTAGCTTCACTTAGCACATCATCAAACATGGCATGCATCCGACCGTGAAAGTCAACTAAAGTTTGACCTCTCCATTCATCATTAAATCTAACTTTGTAAACTTTTTCAACCAATGCATGTTTATCAAATGTACGTTGTTTCCTTAGACTAAACTCATACGCACGA